CTTTATTCGCATAGGATTTCTATGAACGAAACAATGTAGCATATAATGCGTAACCATGGCAATTACAACCAAAGGTATATATAATATATGTAAATAATATTTGATGTGAAAGCATTTATTAAGCTTTTATTGCCAACATTTTCCATGGCTAACAATAAGCACATAACAATGGAAATGTACGATTGAGATGTTTATTAAGACATTCTATGCTAGACTTGTATACGTTACTATGCGAGTTTAATGTTAATTATTTGGTGTCAGCGAGTGTATCTTGATAGACTTATTATTGGTTTTTATTTTATTCATAAAATGAAATGAACACTCCTGGAATAAGAAATATACCATTGACAGATTGACGTTTCAGGTTTCTTAGATATATATCTGCAGAGGCACGGGTATTTGACATTCATTTGAAAAATTCAATATTTATAATGAGCATTACGTCTAACGAAATGCTTGGTCGTGCGAAATACTGCCCTTAGAATGACGCAAACGTATCTGCTTTGAAAATACAAAATACTTAATTGCATTATGTAACTATTGTCATGGCAAGGTTATTAACTACGCCATAAATAGTTATATATATATTAGATTGATTGCCTGTGTTAAACAGTGTTTAAATGTGGGGTATTATTAACATGACCATATAACGTGAATCGTGTTAATCTGTCTAAACATGTTGATGAAATAAAAATATAAAATACAATGGTTTCAATAATAGAACAGGTCACATTTAATTATTTACAGTTCTATCAGTTAGATAGAATACAATATTTTCTTTATGTAGTTTATCTCTGTTTAAGTAAAACTTAAGGAGTTAGTGCCTTCCGCGAGTAATCATCCCAAAGGAAATCACATTCCATTAGGTATATCCCATCTAATAGAAATATGGCTTCCTGGTGACGGCCACGTTGCATTAACAAATTCGTCGATGTAGTTTTATTATTATTCTTTGTAAACTTAACAGACCCGTTACTTATACTTGTCTAAAATGACCTTGCAACACAAATTGAGGATCGTGTATGTTTTCATGGAATCCTTACAAATGAATATAAATCCAGTGAGTTGTTAATGGATTATGTACAAGTTTGCGACTGTATGGCAACATCATAAGTGATGCTAAGTAGAATCATGAACTCGAATAATAGGTATACGTGACCTCTATGTCAATATTTATCCGTGACACACCCCAACAAATACATACAAGCGAAAACGCATAATTACAGGCAAATACACCAAATTATAACAACAAGGCAGAAGATAGCCCTTCGATCATGTTAAATAAGGTACATCATACATTGTATTTTTGTTGCCATGGAATTCACCACCTGCAATTTAATGCTGACTAAAGTATTTGCGACAACCTGAAATTGTTAAGATTTCATCTATTCCTATAAATTACTGTTTAAATTGTAAATAAAAATCATACGCGTGCAATGAAAACATTCAATTTTTTATCATTTTCCCCAGAGTAGTTCAGAGGAGGAATGACGTGGATGTTGTTCTTTTGTTCGTGCATAATTCGAATCATTCTCCTTATAAGGGCTGTACATTTTCAATTCATAACTACATGAATTGTGGGTAATGTGTACATACGCATGAGTTCAGTATGTAACGAATGCAGCTGCTGGGAACGAACCACGTTCGCATCCGGTCGCGAAACATGCTTTTACATTGTTCTCCCCCTGGATATTGGAACGTACGTGCAACGAACTTTCTACTAGACTCTGTCTAAAATTGAAGTTTGGGAACGTAGGAAACGCTATTTTAATCGTTGTTACGATTTATTAGGACCACAAGATGATACCTAATAATTTGTAATAGTAAAGCGCTTTAACTTGTTCGAATAAATCATGTTAATACATTATTATCTTAGATTTGTGTGTACGGTGTTACAGAAAGCGAAACTTTTCAAATGAATAAATTTAAGCTTTCGTGTCTGATCGTATGAATTGAAGCCTGTTTTATCCGCCTAAATTGAAGCATTTAAATACTAAATTTTAATTCTGAATCTGTTGACGCTGTAATGCCGATTATCTGTGTAAATTGAAATTCCAGACTCTGTGTTTACTGTTGCCCTTGCTCCCATCGTTCTATTCTGCAAATGACTGACTATTCGGAGATTATTACACGAATAGAAAGTCCGTGATATTGAGTTGCATGTACTGATCATGTCGGTATTTCCAGATAATGCCAATATCACGATCATATTAGGGAGATGTATCGGAAATGTTTTAGTAACCCACTTATGCACGGTGTTATGCTCCGAATATAATATAAGCGTACTTCAGACAAACGCGGAAAGTTATTTATATTTACGTGACTTTTATAATGTGAAATAACTATCATTAAATAATACCACGATGTCTAATTCATCGTAGTTAACACCCATATCTTCGTTACTTATATACATTCAATGTTATAATTGTCATATACTGTAATTGAGATATATTGAATGTTCACTGAAGTGTATGTCAATTCAATTCAATTCAGAGAAAGCATACAATCAGACGTTCGAATCCCGTGGAATGAAGTTCAACCTGATTTGATGGAATAGTGCAAATTCTAAATTGGAACGTGAAGCGAATATACGATAAATAAGACTGAATGATCGTCACGATTAGAGTTGATTTTACAGTCTAATAATAGCGTATATACATTGATAGCCCATAGCCATGTAAATGCTATGATTTCTCTACTTCATTCCACTGTTGCTACATACATAATGTCTAGTATTCGTTCCTATTAGCCTTTTCTTCCCAAAAAAGGGGGTGGTATATATTGTGGGTTTTTAAATAGAACAAATATATTTGTTTGAGAAAAAATTACAATAATGTTAAGTACTTATAGGGTACACGTGCTGTCTAGTTGGTGTCAAAAAAATCGCATAAAATCTCTTAAGACGGTAAACGTATTAAAATCTGTTCTTGTGCAACACAGTCTGTAAACACTGACGTCATAGTAACAAAAAACGCTAATGTCACCATATAATCCACGTTGACCTTATTTTAAGTACTGAAAATTACTTCAAATCCGCATATTGTGAAGAAATAATTGTATTTATCTCAGTGCACAGACTTGAACACGTGACATTCTGATATAACGCGAGAATATCATGGAACTAAATTACTCAGTGAATGTCAGCATATACTAGAATCAAATGATTTTAAAAGGAACATATAAGAATTCCAAGGGTACTGTTATTACGTCTTTTACGACGAATAACCATTATTACGATCTTAATTTCGGGGCTCAGTCTTCCACGCAATTAAATTACATTGCATATATAATATTACCGTAACTACATTTCATATATAATGTCAGCATAAAGTAAATACGCCATTTGTGTGTAGTTAGAGTCTCTCAATTTCAATTACTTTTTAAAGGTTTGTTTATTTTGTAATACATTACCCAATGAATACCTGAAGGATTTTTAACGACTTCCTTGCGATTTTTTGTTGATGGTGCATTGATAAATGAAAGTAATCAACAATATGAACACAATAATGTGTTGCTGATGAATAAACCAATAAATTTATGCCTCGCGATAATGAAATATTATCTGTAATTTAAAAAAAAACCACACATTTGACACCACAATAACGACAAAAGCTATACACGGCGGGCAGATCGGTAGTACCACGGTGCGTTCTCCTCAGTGCCTTGCATGCATATTTTGTAAAAGGAATTCAAGACGAAGTAGGTCATGCAGTTAGTGACTCTCCATGAATAGTAAATTAAGCTTTGCATTCCGCCCAACTTAATAAAATATCAGGTGAGACATTACGAAGTAAAGTTTTTTTGCAATCAACACTGAATATGTAATTCAGTGTGTCTTTTTCTTGGATGTAAGTGGTGTACATTCTCTATAAATATATCTAAATGGGAGAATATTATCTTCATTATTACACACTGTGTGATTGATAACATTGTAGTGAGCTTTTGCTTTGAACCTGCTGCCAAAAGACAGTAGATAACCATCTGGATCAGTGTGTGGCAAATGTCAGCTACTTTGCGTGGTAGATGTCTTTGTTTGAGGTTGGGCGACTCCCTGGCAGGATTTAATTACCCATGGATGTAATATCATCCTACAAATACTGGCAGAGATCGAAATAGGTTTCGTTTTTTAATTACATAATGCCAGTGATATGCACAAGGTTATATCACACAGACAAATGATTATAATCAACTTTTTTGTGTTTTGAATAAAGATATTCCTCTGGGACACAAGTGATGGGGATCACGCTCGTTAATATATGAATTGTTTTCGAATTAACCCTGTGTGTAATTGTTATTATATGAAAGGTGTAATGGTTTCCACATTGTTCTTATTTCACTGTATATCTCAAGAAATCAATCAAATTGTGTATAGATCAAAGTTTTGCAACGTGGTTGAAAGTTCAATATACTATTATTTTCAAATAAACATCACTATATTTGAAATATATATGTTTCTTCCCACCATATTCATTTATTTACTTAATTGTTTCAATAAACCACATTTTCTAAGAACCGCCAATAAATTCCCAAGCACAGTAATTATTACACACTTTAGACGTAACATGCACATTGTTGTGGATAACTTTTTTTTAACAAGGGAGAATTTTCTTTTACAGCATGCAGAATATATGGGAAGTCGCCTTCATTAATGATAACATTGACGTCCTGCCAGCCATCTACCTTACTGCAAAATGCTGCTAACGTGTTCAGGTTACCACATTTACAGATTGCTACGGAGACCTGCAGGATTAGTTCAGAATTTACACTAAGTATGAATCCCGATGTCTATATGACTGACATGGCGCTGTTTTCGCTGATCAAGTTACAGGAATGGACTTCATTTGTTGTTTACTATGACACCGATATGGGTAAGTTAATAATATACCAATATCTTACGTGTTTGTTTAGGGAATGGTTTCCCACAAGGAAAAGTTTCAACATATTTTTGGAAACAATTTGTAGTATTTGTATATTAATAGGCGATAGGCGTTTGATTGCATACAGTAAGTAGAGCTCAATAACCTCGCATCACGCCTGTCTATCGTCACTTGTCCGGTTCACCATTTGAGGTTTATTTTGATTGAATGTTGACTTGCAAACTCTTATAATTTCTAGTGACATTCACTCTAAAACTGAATCGACAGCCTGTGAGTAATCATATATATATAGACATATACAAAACAAAA